CTCGCATAAACTGCCGCTCGCAATGGCGCTTGCAATGCCGCAACCACTCGTAGACGCATAAACCACAGCTCACAATGCCGCTTACACAAGCAGCGCTCATTGCGCTCAGTGAAACCAAGAACACGGCGCACAAAAATGATAGACCTAGGAATGAGTTCGAGAATTCAAAAATAACACACGCTTGAACGTCACATCAAATCCTCTGACAAACCAGATCTTATGATTCCTCTAACAAATTTCAAACTGAGTAACTTCTAGACTTTGCTATCGGACGTTGAACTTTGTCACATCATGTCCTTGCCTCGATCCAGCTGTGCCATGTCAGTGATTCGAACTTTGCCATGCCATGTCAGCGATCCACACCAAGATTATTCGCCGTGTAAAGGAATAATTATGCTGTGTGTGTACGTCCATTTATGGCAATATAAGGCCACACACCATTCAAAGAATAATGCTAGTCGAGCATTTTTTTGTGCATTTTTGGGTTCAAAATTGCATGAGCCCACACGCTATAAAGTTTACCTGTACCAAAAATAGAAATAGCTTTATTTACTTGGGAATTTAAGTGGTTGAGGCATTTTTAAACTTACAAACACATGCCCTACTTACATTCCTTTGGTTGCTTAAAATTCAAAAATATTATAAACCTTTCTTTTTGCATTTTCAATGTTTTCAATTATGGTTTTTGATTTTCGCAGGACCAGCCTAGTAATCTATTTGCATCCCGTCATGTTTATAGCTAGCTTTCGTTTGTCCCCTTCGCTAGCCTGAGATACATCTGCTCGGCATCTGCCTCTTACAGCATTTGCCCAGAAAGGGCATCTTTCTTCACGCAACATTTGCCACATATTTAGGGAGGGTTTAGGGTTTAGCAATTCAGTAGCTTGATAAACATGCAAATACAGAACTTGATGCAAAATCCTTTGATATGTCACAATGCCCCTAGGACCATAAACACATTTCAATAGAGAGGGTCCTTTCATTTCATAACTCCTTACGTAAATCTTGGTGAAACCAGAGTTAGTGAAGTTAGTTTCTTGTGATCCTGCATCTGATTGTGATGTCCCTTTGCAGTGTCGATGGAAAGGTCAATGCACACCAAACTGTAAAATCTTGGAGCAAAATAACGGTCGGATCTATAGCAAATGCCCCTGAAACATTGTAAGGCTCGTGTGGTCTTATGTGGTGTCCGATCGAGATGCTTCTTTGCAGGGTCATCAAAAAAGACATTGTATACCATTCTGTAAAATCTAGTTGCAATCTAACGGTTGGATCTCCAGAAAACTCAAAAAAATCTCGCATGTGTTAGAATATTCTAGGAATATACTCCTATGTGCCCCTTAAAATGGCATGCAGCCCCACGCCATTCAAGAGATAACGCTAGATGACGCCGAGCATTTTTTGGTGCATTTTTTGGGATCAAAATTGCATGAGCCCACACACTTGAACGTCACATCAAATCCTTTGACAAACCAGATCTTATAATTCCTCTGACAAATTTCAAACTGAGTAGCTTCTAGACTTTGTTGTCGGACGTTGAACTTTGTCACATCATGTCCTTGCCTCGATCCAGCTGTGCCATGTCAGTGATTCAAACTTTGCCATGCCATGTCAGCAATCCGCGCCAAGATTATTCGCCGTGTAACTGCTCGGCATCTGCCTCTTACAGCATTTGCCCAGAAAGGGCATCTTTCTTCACGCAGCATTTGCCACATATTTAGGGAGGGTTTAGGGTTTAGCAATTCAGTAGCTTGATAAACATGCAAATACAGAACTTGATGCAAAATCCTTTGATATGTCACAATGCCCCTAGGACCATAAACACATTTCAATAGAGAGGGTTTTTTCATTTCATAACTCCTTACGTAGATCTTGGTGAAACCAGAGTTAGTGAAGTTAGTTTCTTGTGATCCCACATCTGATTGTGATGTCCCTTTGCACGATGGAAAGGTCAATGCACACCAAACTGTAGAATCTTGGAGCAAAATAACGGTCGGATCTATGGCAAATGCCCCTGAAACATTGTAAGGCTCGTGTGGTCTTATGTGGTGTCCGATCGAGATGCTTCTTTGCAGGGTCATCAAGAAGGATATTGTATACCATTCTTTATTTAGCTGAACATCTGGCATTTTTGGAAATACAAGATGCTTTGGAATATCCAATCATGCATGGTATAAATATAGCGAGGGTATTAAATGATATCCCAATCATGATCTTTCTTTTGGATTTCGCGTGCATGCAGTCCGAGGAATGATGACGTTACGGATTTCTTTTGGATTTCACGTGCATGCATGCGCGCGGCGATCCAGAAATTAATGGTGGCGCCCAAGTCCGAGGAATGATGATGTTGCGGGATTACCAACCGTCGTGACATTTCGCGCGTGTGAGGTTAGGTTTTGCATTTTGCTTCGTACTCGCGCTCGCACTCACGATCACGCTCACATTCGCGCTCATCTACCTTCTCTACAGGTTTCTCGTGTGCATCGGCATCCACTCGCGCTTGCATCACACTCGCGCTCGCATCGCGCTTGCATCGCGCTCGTGTGCATCGGCGTCCACTTCAAGACACACTCAGTTTGTAACTTCGCCGCCAACTCCACCACCCACTCCGCCACCCACACGCAGCCCACTTGGCGTCCCGGGAGATTTCAGCGCCACTCTCCAACTGTAAGTGGCAGAGTAGCCTTGCTGCTACGATCCGCTGCACACACAGTGCACATTCGCCAACGAGTCCGGCCTCGATTGTCACGCCTCCATTCGGCTTCAAATGGTAAGTCTTTTAGGCCAAGTAGAAAATGGCATGAGGCCACATGCCATTCAGTAGCAACATTGGCATGCACCGATTGGGCTCTCGAGTGCAGTCCGGTTACAGATGGTGTGTAGCCTCATGCCATCTTAGGATGCAGCCTCAAGACATCTGATGCAGTGGTGAATGACGTGTGGCCTCACGTTATTTCCAGCTGCTAGCTTTTCATCTGTCAGCTCTAATTGTTGTGCATTTTTGAACAGGCGAGGAATTGCGTTCTTCTTCCAGCCACTATCAATGTGGATGCAGAGAAGGGGGAGGAGCTCACCAGTTGGACTTTCGGGATGGAAGGCGAGGATCTGAGGCTGTACAACACAGATGGTGGGAGAAAAGAATACATGGGGATCCTCATCCAAGTGACAGACACTCCATGCAGTTCCATGCAAGAATATGGACTGGCACTTGTGGTAGAGACAGCGTCCGCCTTCAAGATCCACCTTGCACATCCTAGCGGCTTCCCGGAGGGGGGCAGCGGCTATGAGGAATTCCTAGAGGGAGCTAGGGAGAGGTTGTCTAGGAGGCCCACAATTTCAAAGACGCTGCGGGTCTATGAAGATCACATGGAATCCACGGACCTCACCTACGGCGATGTTCAAAAACTATATTCCAACATTGAGCCGTTGAGAGTGACTCCAGTTCGCGAAGTGAAGGGGAAGGGGGTCGATCTGGAAACTACCCCGAAGCAGAAAAGGGTGGTCAAGCTCAAGCTGACGTCCGACTCTCCTGCTCCAAAAAAGAAGCTACTCGGTGATGCCATTGCCTCGGGTTCGAACACTACACCCACCAAAAAGAAGAGCCGCAAAGAGCAGAAAGAGCAAGAAGAGGCAGCAAAAATCGTCATAGATAATAGTACTTGTTACTATTCCAACAAAGTATATACAATCGACGTGAGCCACATCGACATCCAAAGCAAATACAACCACATGCTAGTATCTGATGAGTGGGTGGAAAAACTGAAGCAGAAGATGCTGGCAAGTCCAGTAACACTCGACATCGCAGACGTGATCCCCTACTACTGAACAATGAAGGGCGAGACGAGGTTTCCAGACTTGATCAATAGGAAGGTGTTGGACGATCAGAACATCCGGTTCTATGCCGTATCTAGGCAGCATTCTAGCTTGGCGATGCAAGAGATAGTTGTGGATATTATGGTGGGCGAGGAGGTGAAGAAAGTCTTCAAGACAAGAGTTGTCCGCCTGATAAAAGGCAACTCGCCCCTCCGATCTATCATATACATCTCCCACGCGCAGAATGTCAAGCAAGAAACGTGCTACAAATCGGGTCTGCACGAGACATTGGCACGAACACGGAAGCTCTGGGTTCAACTGAAGAAGCCACAAAAACCAGGACAAGGACGTGCACTAGCAACTAGCGCCTGGCAGGTAAGCCTCGTTGCATGTGGCATAGCATGTGGCCTCACGCCATTTCCATTGCAGGAATTCTCGAGTCTTCTCTCGAAAACACTGGGGGTCAATGACACACTCAGCATCCATAACATTCCACTCGCGACATCAGAAGCCATTTGATCGGACAGACACCAGTCATCATTTATGGCATGTATATTGTCTAGCCAAGCACTATCCGCATCTCCATAATCTGCTCAACCGGATGGGTTCTTCGACCACTGAACATGAGCATGGACGTATTAGAGAAGAGATGGCATTACTATTGGGTTTAAATCCTGATAGTGTGGAGAGTGATGAAATTCCAAGATTATTGTATAGGTGTTGGAGGCAAAAAATAACAGTCTGAGATGGCATATATTTATTTAAAAATGTAACTTATTATGGCATGGGGTTCCATGCCATTGTATTAATATTAAAAGACAATTCTTTGAGAGGATTTACATTATACTAGAAGTGTTACAGCATGTTATTGGAAGTCTACGAAGTTGTTTTATTAATAAGGGGAAAGTAAAGATTGAATGGGGACTTGGGCTCCACCTAGACTCGGAGCAACTGAGCCAATATTAAAAGGATGGAAAGAAATTGAACGACGATGACAAGGAGAAGAGAGAGGTGAAGCAGTGGCAGGGGGAGGAGAAGTGATTGAGTAGACATTTCCTTGTTTAAAATAAAATGGCATGTGCCTCAATGCAGTTGAATTTTGTTATATTTATATACTATATAAAGGTTTGGAAACCTTATTTTACAAGTGGGATAATGACAATTCCCACTTTAACGAAATAGAGCTTATGCCCTCTTTCGGTTGTGCACGATCTGAGACTTTTCTGACAGGCGTTGTTGATGATCCCACATACCACATACTCAGGAAATACGCAACTCCAGCTGTTCCTGATCTTGCATTGCTCAAGGAATTCCTGGTATCGAAACCGGCGGGATTATCTCTTCTGCTGAGCCCCGTGAGGTATGCGACTCTAAAGTCCCATGATTTAGCTGGGATGTTCAGCAAGGGCACCCCAAATTCATATTGCGTTGACCTGGAAAGCCTTCTGGCTCTTAGCGTCATCAAACCTCCCGAAGTTGGTGCGTTTCCTCTTTCTCTTCAACCTCAGGTTCTAACGCCGTTCTATACTCTTCAAGGCACTACCGAATTTTCTTACATTCCGTTTTGGAACATGCTTATACACGAAGCAATCAAGGGGTACCTGCAGACTTCTGTGTCATTGACTTTCGCAAGGAGCACAAACTGCGAGACGCAGACACTGTCTCAACTTCCTGACTACGTTGGATATGTGGGCGCTCTTTATTCTTTGTTCCGGGGTGAAGAAAAGGCAGTTCGGGGGCCAGGGAATCCAAAGCAGGGCCTCATGGACAAGCTGGTCTGGGTGTACAAGGACGTGCCCTATCTGCTTGGCTACCATGCAAGGGGTCCCAACGTGACATTCGGTGCACTCTACCATGGTGGGGGCAAGGTGCAGTGCAAAGATTTGGTCACGGTGGATCTGAGCAGCATGACTGACAGGGTGCGGTCCCAGCTCATACTTTTCAACTTGGGGAGGGTTCTGGCGGGCCTTTGTGATCTATGCTCAAGGAGAAACGAGATTTCTGATACGGTCATGGTGCAGGAAGTGGATCTTGAGAAGGGTGGCAAGTCCGTGGTTCTTTCAGGATACTCGGTCATCAAGGGATATATGAACCTGGAGAAGGCAAAGAAGGTGTGGAATGCATACTCACGCATCCAGGGCTGCCCAAATGCAGAGAAGTGTCATACAAAGGCCTGTCCCCGAAAGAGGAAACGAAACAGTGATCCTGAAGATCGATTGTACACTTTGACGTTCACGCCGCGGCTCGATACGAACCAGCGAGCCACGCCCGTTCCCGAGCTGTTAAGGGCCTTGCTTCACGTCTCCAATGCGCTGTGTTACGCCCATGAGCGGCGTGTGATACACAGGGACGTGAGCTGGAGCAACGTTGGACTGGATCTCGCTTCCAACCAGTGGGTACTCTTTGACTGGAATGAGTCCTGCACTTCTCCAGCTCCATGTGCTGCAGCGACGCTTTCCGGTGCCTGTCATGCACCGGAGATTCCTCTGGGCCCTCACGATACTGCAGTCGACGTGTGGGGTCTAGGCTGGCTAATCCATACGTCCAAGGTGACTCTGACCCAAGAGCTGGAAGAACTTCGAGATGACTGCCTAGAGGAGCAGCCTAAGGCTAGACCGACAATGACCTCCTGCACGGATCGGCTGCAGAAAATGTTTGCAAATTTGGACGGGTAAGTCTGGTACAGTTACACTGTTTTTATAGGATAGAATTACTGAGTATATGTATTATTCTATGGAAAGTCTGCTGGATAGCCCAAGCCTAGAGCTTGATTCAAAACAAGGTAAAAGAATTCTCACACAAAGAAAAGATGGCAATTTAGCTGTATAACTTACAGAAATCAAAATTATTATTATATGTTTAAGATTATTAGTGATTTTTAGTGCTTTTTAACATAGCTTCTAAAAGATGTTCATCTGGAAATAAATGGATTTGAAATCTTGAGAAACAATTCAAAAGTTTAGAGAAGATTATTCAAATTAATAATATATACATATATTAAATCATGTAATATAAATCCTTAAGATTATTTACTTTTTTTATTAAAAAAATCAAAATAAATAAATATAACCAACATCATTGTAGATAGTCAAGTATATATATAAACATTTTAAGCTTGCAAGAAATTTATTTTTCATACTTACAACCAAAGTAATAGTTCCCATTTAAGAACTTCAAAACATTATGAACTGACTTCTCCCATGTTTTTGTCAGTCTTAAGGCTTTCTTGATCTCAAGAATTTTTGTTTTTATGAATTTTAGAGAGGTAAGGTGAGATTAGTTCTTATGTGCATTGATTTCTCTTAGTGACTTTTCATTTTTTTTCTTTGCATTTTTTGTAGTTTACAATATATTTTTAATTTCTTTTATTTACACAATTTGCTTATGAGAGCAAATATAAATCAAGCTTGACTGGCTGAAACTTCTAAGAGGGGACTTGAACTTATAACACTATAGATTTGGTTTACTTTACAACTTATACATTATAATATTTTGCTTTCTATTTTAGAGGAAATATCGAGGCAAACCTCAATAGTTCCTATCTCTAGGAAAAGGGTTTTGATCACTGTGGGTTTGGCCAATTGAGTGGAAATTCATCCTAAGTAATCAATAAAGTTATTGCTGGTTATGCTAAAGGAGGCAATGAAGAGCATAATAATAATATGGATGTTGAAATAGACACTCAAATTGCTATAATTAAGGCTGTTGGTACTAGTGCTCTTGAGGCTGTGGCTACTGATGGTGGGGTGCTTGTGTCTAATATTGGTGGTGGTGGGAGAGTTGTGCCTTTGGCTATTAAGGCTGCTCATGATGAGGTAGATTAACTTACTATGGAGGCTATTAGTAGTGTGATAGCTACATTACTGTAGAGGTTGCTAATAGTGTGGTCATTATTTTCTATAACACTTTACTAACTATTCATTCTTGAGCTTGGATGATCATATCCCAAACACAATCATTCAAGATGGTGTCAAAATCATGCATGCACAATCCCTCACCACCACCAGCTCCCCTGGCACCACCAGCCTCAAGAGCAGTAGGAGCAGTTAAGTGTTTTCTATTTCCTTTGTGCTAGTTGGTTCAAAGCCATTAAGTGTGCTCAGCTTACAACCTCAATATGGTTATCTACAACTCCTTTGCAAAAATCAGGTTTGGGAGCATAGTTGGTACCTTTATCATTTCAGTAACTTTCCCTGGAACTAGCTGGATAGAGCTAGTGACTATTGAACTTGAGTAAAAATGGGATCATTTATAGCTGTGAAAGTCTCGTAAGTTTGATGGATTTTTAAGACAACATGTGGAGACTACAAGATTTATTGAAAGTTGTTCTAGGTAATCAATAGAAACCATAAGTGGCTAGCATTTTGGGAGTGCATTTAAGAGAAGTTCTGAGATGATAAAGAATAATATATTAATGTTTCAATCACATTTATCAAACCCATGACTCTAGAGCCCACTGTAAAACTCAATATAGCATGCCACAAGATTAATATGTAAGAATTTATCTTTTGTAAACTTACTCCATATTATGTTTTTGTAGGATAAACCAGTTCATGTTTCAAGCTCATACATTGGTACACAACATTGAGCACCTTTAATTTATCTACTCTACATGCTCTCGCTAGAGGAGGTCTAAAAACTGTAGAATTACGAGGTCTTTGAAACAATTCAAGTTAAGTTAGCAACTAGGAAAGGCTAAGAATTGCATACTTGGTAGTAGCTACTATTTAATTTTCTAATTGCTATCTAGGCTAAGGTAAATTAGTGTTGAAGTATGCATCAACTTACAAAATATTTTTTTGCTGCTCATAATCAAGGGAAAAAGAGCCTTATTCTTTAAAAATACTTGAAGGGACAAGTAACAAAAGGAGATGGAGTGGTATGCAATTAAGTAGCAAATTTTGAATACAAAGAAAACAAAAGTGAAAAGTTGCTCTCAATTGAAGATATACAATATGACCAAGAATGGCTCAATAGCATTGCTAAGATTTGTTCTTGCATTCATAAGTTCTTCTAAAATTTATGAAATATTTCATAGCTCTATATGTGTAAATATTGATAAAGCATTAGAGGAGCTTATTTATAACATCTCCAAGAGTAAAACATCTTTTGCCAAACAAAATATCTAATTGGAACTTCTCAACACTTGGTTGCAAAATAACGAAAAATGTTACAAAACAATATTGGAGAAGATGATAAAGGGGAAGGCATATATTTTTTAGAGTATTACCACTGGTGAGGAGATATTATAAGTCTAGGATGAGAAATGAGCTTGGCTGAGTTCAAGAACCAGTCAAGACAACCATTTCTTGTGAAGCACATCATTTATAAGTATTTCTCAATTCTTGTTTATATATTGGTATTTATATTTATATTTTACTTTATAAATATTTAAAATATTGCTTTGGTGCACCCATATACATAGCTAGTGTTTTGCACAGGCTTTTGGCTAAAGGCAAGAAGCTTGGGATGTATAAGCCAAAATTCTACTATCCTTATACACATGAGAGGGAGTTGTGCCCATGGTACCTTGAACTCATAGAGTAGATGCTAACATTAGACTTTGAGCTAAATCTCTATGTCATTGAAGTTCAACAACAAAACCCAAGAATCCATACTCAAGAAATTGTTTAGGAGATGCCAAATACAAATATCATTGAGATAGAGGAAATTGTACAAGAGATTCTAGCATAAGAGATTCCAACGTCTACTCACAACTCTTAAAGGGGATATTGTGAAGCTTTTCATGAGAGTAAGGACTTTAATTTGGAACTTTTTTATTATCATTCTAATTTCATTTTTTTTTTCATAGATGTTACAAAGAGCAGCCATTAGTCTTCTTGGTAGACCAAAACATTCTTCCCATCCCTCTCTACAGCTACAAATGACAACCTAGAAGTGCTCTCCTATAGCTATGCACAAAGGTTAATAAAGATGAATTTTATTTTTAACTATAGCTTTAATAATTATTTTTCATATTCACCCTCTATCCCCAATGACTAATGTTAAGGAAGTTGTTGTTCTCATTAAGGATTACATGCAACTTCTAGATGCTACTAGTTGAGAGCTCTACATACTTGATTGATGGATCCATGGCTTGGATCAATATAAGGATTAATTTGTCTATTCTATTTTAGTCATTTAATTACACTTCTAACCACTTGGAGGAGTTTTATTCACACCCTCCATAAGTCCAATTCAGGATTTAGGGCTTGTTAGCCCCGAAAGTGACATCCATGCCATCTAACCTTTGCACTTGATCTAAGTGCTCCATGTGTCCAATCTCATAATTAACACCCAAAAGTACCATCGACATATCAGCCCATTACACTAAGGCCATGCCCATTCACCTTTGCCACATTGGTGGTCCAACACCACTTACATCACAATCCTGTTTTTCACAAACTAGGCCATCCATTTATGAGTGGTCATCCCAGATCCACTCCTTAGCATCTTTAGGATGCCCATAAACAAAAACAACCTTCCTCAATATCCCTTTTCCAATCCCCATTAAGTCTTTTTTTGTCCATGGCTGTATTTGCTAACACTACCACTAAGTCAAGGCCTATAAGCCTGACCACTAAGTCCCATTGTCCTTTGGGACTTCCACACCGCCTTGGTCACTACACTAGAGGACTGCCCCTTTTCCTTTCCATAGTCTGGGACTTTAGGACAACATTTCGGAACACCGTGGCCTTATGCAAGCCTCATGGGTACTCTCCCCGCCTTCCGCCTTTGGGTGCTCTAGCCATAGGGTTAGAGCGAAGTTCCATTGAGCCATGCCAGGTATCCAAGTAAGTAGTGCCACCCACGCTTGGATTGGGAGCATCGACCATTCGATCTCCTGGGGGAACTAGAGCTGACTCTTGAATACTTCACCAAGCTACCCCACTTGTCGGTCCGTATTCACTCTAGCCTTGGATTTCCTAATGGATATCTCATCACCCAACACTTGGGTACAACCTTCTTAGGCCAAATTGGCTCCACTGGGGTCCAACCCCCACCCTCTCCCTATTATACTTTTGGAACCCCTTGCAACCCCCCCCAGGGGGACGACCGCTTTGGGCTTTCACCCGATAGCCTGTATTAGTATTTGGACTCGGTCTCAGTCTCAATCTCAATCTCAACTTTATACTCGGACTCGGTCTTGGTCTCAGTCTCGGTCTTGGTTCCATCTCGGACTCCATCTCGAGTCCATCTCGAACTTCATCTCGGACTCCATCTCAAGTTCCATCTCAGGTTCCATCTCAAACTCCATCTCGGGTCCATCTCAAACTCCATCTCGGGTTCCATCTCAGACTCCATCTCGGGTCCATCTCAGACTACATCTCGGGTCCTTCTCGAATTCCATCTCAAGTCCATCTCAAACTCCATCTCGGGTCCATCTCAGACTCCATCTCGGGTCCATCTCATACTACATCTCGGGTCCTTCTTGGACTCCATCTCGGTTCCATCTCGGACTCCATCTCAGTCTCTCTATGGCATCACAGTTGTTAATAGCAACATGTTTGAGCACCCACTTGATTCTCCACTTCCAACTTGCATAACCACCCTATGCCCTTTGATTCCTGTAGTTCGATTTTATTCTTTTATTATTTACTTTTTGGCTTCACACATTTCTTTCGGTTATTTTCCTCCCGACTAAGAGGACAGGTTTGTACTTTCTACCATACCT